CTGCAAGGTATTTTGGGCCGGAACCGTTTAGGGCTTTGTAGGATAACACCAGCACCTTAAATTGGGCCCGGTAGCAAATCGGCAGCCAGTGGAGCTGGGACAGCAGGGGCGTTGTATGCTCCCTGCGCCCTGCTCCTGTTAACAACATGGCTGCCGCGCGCTGGACTAGCTGAAGCTTCCGGGCCGTCTTCAAGGGCAGCCCCACGTAGAGAGCGTTGCAGTAGTCGAGGCGGGATGTGACCAAAGCGTGTACCACCGTGGCCAAGTCAGACTTCCCAAGATACGGGCGCAGCTGGCGCACGAGCCGAAGCTGTGCAAATGCTCCCCTGGTCACCGCTGAGACCTGGGGATCCAGGCTCAGCGACGAATCCAGGGTCACACCCAAGCTGCGAACCTGCGCCTTCAAGGGGAGTGCGACCCCGTCCAGCACAGGCTGTAACCCTATACATGTCTTATGTCTTATCTTTATGCTTTAACCATGTTGTACCCCACAAGGAGAGGCAGGTAATAATAATAATAATAATAATACTAATAATAATTTTATTTTTTATTATTATATTATATTATTATATTGTTTAACTTTAATTTTATTTATTATTATTATTATTATCCCATTGTTATGTTATATTATTTTTATTTTATTTATCATTATTATCCTATTATATTGTTATATCGTTTTTATTATATTATATTGTTTTACTTTAATTTTTATTATTATTATTATCCCATTATTATATTATATTATTTTTATTTTATTTATTATTATTATGCCATTATTATATTGCTTTATTATATCATTTTATATTATATTATTATATTGTTTACTTTAGTTTTATTTATTATTATTATCCCATTATTATGTTATATTGTTATATTGTTTATTTATTATTATTATCCTATTATATTATATTGTTTTATTTTTGTTTATTATTATTATATATTATTATTAATTAAAATAATTAAAATAATATATAATAATAAAAAACAAAAATAAAACAATATAATATAAAATAAAATAATATAATATAACAATATATTATTATATATATTATATAAATGAAATAAATAATAATATAAATATTTAAATAAAATATAATTATAAATAATAATAAAAATAATATATAAATATAACAATATAACATAATAATGGGATAATAATAATAAATAAAATAAAGTAAACAATATAATAATATAATATAATAAAAATGATATAACAATATAATATAATAATAGGATAATAATGATAAATAAAATAAAAATAATATAATATAATGGGATAATAATAATAATAAATAAAAACAAATAAAAAACAATATAATAATGTAATATAATAATAATAATAATAAAATAACGATATAACAATATAATATAATATAATAGGATAATAATGATAACTAAAATAAAAACAAACACTATAGTAATATAATATAATAATAGGATAATAATAATAATATAATAATGGGATAATAATAAATAAAATTAAAGTAAAACAATATAATAATATAATAAAATGATATAACAATATAATATAATAATAGGATAATAATGATAAATAAAATAAAACTAATATAATATAATAATGGGATAATAATAATAAATAAAATTAAAGTAAAACAATATAATAATATAATATAATAATCACTATAATAAAAATATAATAATGGGATAATAATAATAAATATCCTATTATTCTATCTTATTATCCTATTATTATAATAATAGGATAATAAGATAGAATAATAGGATATTTATTATAATAAATAAAACAATAAAACAATATGACAATATAATAATGGGATGATAATAATAAATAAAATTAAAGTAAAATAAATATTACAATATAAAATAAAAATGGGATAATAACAATAAATAATATTAAAGTAAAACAATATAACAATATAATATAATAGTGGGATAATAAATAAAAAATAAAAAATAAAACAACATAATATAATATAATATAATAGGATAATAATAATAAATAAAATAAAAATAAAACAATATAGTAATAAAATATAATAATAGGATAATAATAATAACTAAAATAAAAATAAAACAATATAATAATAATATAATATGATAATAATAATAAAAATTAAAATTAAACAATAATATAATAATAATAATAATAATAATTGTGGTTATTGTTGTTCAAATTTCGAGGGTCATTTGAATTACCTCCCAGGCAATACGATGGCATGGACAATGCCAACTTTGGCCTTCCATAATATACCTTGACCCTTTGGGATTGTGTCTGGTTCCTTCATAGCTAATCCTTGAACCCTCCTCCTCAGCCTGGTGGAGATTTGGCTCAAGTTTCGGTGATCCGGTCAAACCCGGAGGGCTGTTGACCCTTCCAGCTCGTTTTGGGAATGGGTCTCAGCCACCAAGGTCGACTTGGTGGACCGACCCCGGTGGAAATGAATGTTGGTGACCCCATAAACTCGATAAGGGAGATGACCCCCCCCCCCAAAATGTGTCTCGGTGACCTTGGTAAACTTGGAAGAGAGAGAGAGAGAATGAGAGAGACGGGCCTTGCAGTTCAGAAGAAATGACCAAAGGACCTGGGCCTCCTTGCCTTGGGCTTGCAATGCTTCACCCTTTCGCCCCTTTGCGCACCCCATTTCCTGTTCGATTCCGACCGAAACCGAAGTTCCTCCTTGAATTAAAGGCCTTGATTCTCAGGAATGTGTGACCCCGTCATAAAGACACAGGGTTTGATCCCTTGAGTGGGAGACTCGGTCGAGAGTCCCTGGGAATGCTCAGAGTCACATTCTGATGCTTGGAAGTCACTCATTTCAAGCAACACCTCACTCGAAATTGAGCCCTACTAAGTTCAGTGATGGCTGGTGACCCCCAAGTTGGGGCAAGGATGAGTCTTGTAAAGTCTGGACTAAAACCCAGCACACCGACCGCAGTGGAGGATGTCCATGTGGTGGGGTGGCACCAACCCTAGTGTGAAACTGGTTGATAAATGGAGTTGATTCCATGTAGAATCAATGGAAATGCCATCAGCCAATATCTCAAACGAACATCTCAAAAGAAACGCCATTGGGTTGTGTCCTGGGATCCATCCATCCATCTATTCATCTACCTATCATCTATTCAATCATTCATCCATCATCCACCTATCATCTACTCAACCATCAAGACATCCATCTATTTACCTATTCTCTATTCAACCATCCATCCACCTATCATCTACTCAACCATCAAGACATCCATCCATTTACCTATTCTCTATTCAACCATCTATCCATCCACCTATCGTCTACACATCTATCTATCCATCTATCTATCTGTCTACTCAATCATCCACCCCTATTCATCTACCTATCATCTATTCAATCATTCATCCATCATCCACCTATCATCTACTCAACCATCAAGACATCCATCTATTTACCTATTCTCTATTCAACCATCCATCCACCTATCATCTACTCAACCATCAAGACATCCATCCATTTACCTATTCTCTATTCAACCATCTATCCATCCACCTATCGTCTACACATCTATCTATCCATCTATCTATCTGTCTACTCAATCATCCACCCCTATTCATCTACCTATCATCTATTCAACCATTCATCCATCATCCATCTATTTACCTATTCTCTATTCAACCATCTATCCACCCATCCGCCTATCATCTACTCAACTATCTATCTATCTATCTATCTATCTATCTATCTACCTATCATCTACTCAAACATCTATCCACCCATCCGCCATCTACTCAACTATCAATCATTCTACCTACCTCCTATCATCTACTCAATCATTTATCCACCTATCTACCATCCATCCATTCATCTATCACCTACTCAATCACCCGTCCATCTATCATCTACTCAACCATCCATTCATCAATCCATCCATTCAATTTATCCATGTACTCTACCACCAATCTCTATCCATTCATTCACCTATTATCTACTCAACCATTCAACTACCTACCTACCTATCTATCATCTACTCAACCATCAGATCCACCATCCACCTGTCATCTACTCTACCATCTATCCATCATCTACACTACCATCCATTAATCCATCCATCTACTCAACCATCTATTTATCCATCCATTCATCTACCTATCTACCATCTACTCAACCACCCACGAACCTATCATCTACTTAACCAGTTGCATCCATCCATCCACCTATTGTCTACTCAATCATCCATCCACTGATCTATCTACCTATAACCTAATCAACCATCTATCATCTACTCAACCATTCATCAATCGACTTATCATCTACTCAACTATCTACCTATCATTGATGCAGCCAACCATTCACCTATCATCTACTTAACCATCTATCCTTCCTTCCTTCCTTCCTTCCTTCCTTCCTTCCTTCCTTCCATCCATCCACCTATCTAACTACCTAACATCTACTCAACCATCTATCCATCCATCCGCCATTTACTCAAATATCAATCATTCTTCCTACCTCCTATCATCTACTCAATCATTTATCCACCTATCTACCATCCATCCATTCATCTATCACCTACTCAACCACCCATCCATCTATCATCTACTCAACCATCCATCAATCCATCCATTCACCTATTATGTACTCTACCACCTATCTCTATCCATTCATCCACCCATCATCTACTCAACCATCTATTTATCCATCCATCCATCAATCAATCCATCCATCCATTAATCTGCCTATCTACCATCTACTCAACCACTCACACACCTATCATCTACTTAACCAGTTGCATCCATCCACCCACCTATTGTCTACTCAATCATCCATCCACTGATCTATCTACCTATAACCTAATCAACCATCTATCATCTACTCAACTCTCCATCAACTGACATCATCTACTCAACTATCTATCTACCTATCACGCAGCCAACCATTCACCTATCATCTACTTAACCATCCATCCATCAATCAATCAATCAATCAACCAATCAATCAATCATATAGTCAACCATTCATCTGTCATCCTCAATGGGATGAGCTACTTACTTTGCCCATACTGCCCGTACTGGTATCCGGCCACGGGGTCCACGCTGTATCCGGTGGTGGTGTAGGTGGGGGGGCAGTAGGACTGGGAAGTGGGGAGGCTGTCCACGGACTTGATGGAGTCACTCCTCTGGCTGCAGCTGGCCGAGATGGAGTTGGCCGTCTCCAGGCTGCCGTGGAGCGGGGAGATGGAGAAGTCGGCCTGGGGCTGAGCGGGGACCCCGCTGGGGTTGCTCAGGATGCTCATCACCTGCAACAAGGGGGGAGAAACAAGGAGGGACCCCGTCAGTCAAGATGTGAGGAGAAGGTGGTCGTGTACATAGCGAAGGAGGAGAGGAAGGAGATGAAGACAATGGAGGAGTCAGAAAAGAAGGAGGAGAATGTGGAGAAAGAAGGTCAAAGAAGAAGAGGAGGAAGAAAAAAGGAAGAGGAAGGAGGAGGATACGGAATTGGGGGAAGAAGTAGAAAAAGAAAGAGAGAAGAAGGAAGAAGGAGGAAGAATAGGAGGAAGGCGACGAAGGAAGAGAAGAAGAAAAGGAAGGAAGAGGAGGTGAAGGAGGAGAATATGGAATTGGATGAAGAAATAGAAAAAGAAAGAGAAAGAGAAGACGGATGGAGGAGGAAGAATAGGAGGAAGGTGACAAAGGAAGAGAAGAAGAAAAGGGAGGAGGAGGAGGAGGAGAGAGGAGAATATGGAATTGGAGGAAGAAGTAGAAAAAGAAAGAGAAGAAGGAAGGAGGAGGAAGAACAGGAGGAAGGTGACAATGGAAGAGAAGAAGAGAAGGAAAGAGAGGAGAAGGAGGAGAATATGGAATTGGAGGAAGAAGTAGAAAAAGAGAGGACGGAGGAGGAAGAATAGGAGGAAGGTGACAAAGGAAGAGAAGAAGAAAAGGAAGGAAGAGGCGGAGAAGGAGGAGAATATGGAATTGGAGAAAAAGAAACTGAAAGAGAAGAAGGAAGGAGGAGGAAGAATAGGAGGAAGGTGATGAAAGAAGATAAGAAGAAAGAAAGGAAGAGTAGGAGAAAGAGGAGAATATGGAATTGGAAAAGAAAGAAGAAGGATCAAGGAGGAAGAATAGGAGGAAGGTGATGAAGAAAGAGAAGAAAAGGAAGAGGAGGAGAAAGAAGAGAATATGGAATTGGAAGAAGTAGAAAAAGAAAGAGAGAAGAAGGAAGAAGGAGGAAGAATAGGAGGAAGCTGATGAAGGAAGAGAAGAAAAGGAAGGAAGCGGAGGAGAAGGAGGAGAATATGGAATTGGAGGAAGAAGTAGAAAAAGAGAGAAGGACGGAGGAGGAAGAATACGAGGAAGGTGATGAAAGAAGAGAAGAAGAAAAGGAAGGAAGAGTAGGAGAAAGAGGAGAATATGGAATTGGAAAAGAAGGAAGAAGGATGGAGGAGGAAGAATAGGATGAAGGTGATGAAGAAAAGGAGAGGAGGAGATATGGAATCGGAGGAAGAAGTAGAAAAAGAAAGAGAATGTAGGGATGAGGAAGGAAGGAGGAGAAAGAGAAGAAAAGAGGAGGAAGAAAAGGGGAAATGGCAAGAAGGAAGAGTAGAAGAAAAAGAAGAAAGAGGAGAAGGAGGATAATATGGAATCGGAGGAAGAAGTAGAAAAAGAAAGAGAAGGAGAAGGAAGGAGAAGGAAGGAGGAAGAAGAATAGGAGGAAGACGAAGAAGGAAGAGGATGAGTAAGAAGAAGCAGAAAAAGGCAAAGGAAGAGAAGGGGAAGCTGGAATAGGAGGACAAGGAAAAAGAAAGACAAAGGAGGAGGAATAGGAGGAGGAAGCAGATGAAGAAGGAAGAAAAGGAAGAAGAAAAAAAGAGGAAGAAAAGAAGGAGGAAAGGAAAGGAAGGAAAAGAAGGAAGAGGAGGAAGAAGAGGAAAGAAAAGAAGGATGTGAAGGAGCACAAGGTGGTGGCAGAACAGTTCATTGACTGCCAACCTCTTGGCCACCTTGGAAGGCCTGGGCTCTGGAAGAAGGGCCTTCTCCATGACCTTCTTCCTTGCCCGTAATGTGTTGCTTCTCGGAGCATCGCCGTGCCTAATGCAAAATCGATCGCCCTTCTGCTTCCGATAAGTATATTTTTTTAATCGGACGGGAAATCTGTCTTCCTGTCCTGTCCATCAGGATGATTGGCACTTTGTGAGTTTTTGTGAATTTTCTGCCCATTTTCTTTCACATTTCGGGGACTCACAGGCGAACCAGCCATTGCACTTTGTGCCACCAGGTGGTGCACTTTTTTTTTGCATTGCACTAGTACGCATTACTTGTTTTGCTCCAGTCTCGCAAGTTTGGTATGCCACAAACTGCCCTATTCGTTACACACCATATCACTTGGTGCCGTTTTTTACACATTATCAACTGGTGCACTTTTTGAATACTTTCACTGAATAAACCTTCCCCGTGCCACGAGCTGGTGAACTTTTTGCACACTTGTATTGCATGCCACACCATCCGGTGCACTTTCCCCACAATACACTGCCTGCCTGCTTGAAGGATTGGGAGAGTGATCTGACTGGTAGTGCAAGGGTAGTGCAAACAACGTGGACAGAAGTGAGCCAGAAGGTGGTCTGCAATAAGGGCACGAGTTGACATGCAAAAGTGCATCCCTGGATGACATGCAATAAGGTCACGAGATGGTGGAATGCAATGAGTACACCGGTCAACGTGCAAATAGTGCACTAGCTTATTGTGCATAATAAGAGCACTAGTTGAGGGCATGCACCAAGTGCACTAGTGCAAGTGGCAGGCAGGAAGTGTATTGTGGGGATGGTGAGGTGTGCAATGCAAGTGTGCCGCTTGATTGTGTGCAAAAGGTTCACCAGCTGGTGGGCATAGGAAAAGTTTGTTCAGTGAGCGTATTCATACACTAGTGCACTTGGTGCATGCCATCAACTAGTGCTCTTATTATGCACAATCAACTGGTGCACTATTTGCACATTGACTGGTGTACTCATTGCACGCCATCATTTAGTGCCCGTACTGCATGTCATCCAGGGATGCACTTTTTGCAAGTCGACTCATGCCCTTATTGTACGCCACTATCTGGCACACTTTCTTCCATGTTGATTGTACAGACTTGCCCTAGTGCACTTGGTGTATGCAATCGAATAGTGATTTTATTATGCACAATCAGCTGGTGCACTATTTGCACATTAAGTGGTGTACTCATTGTACGACATCATCTAGTGACGTACTGCATGTCATCCAGGGATGCACTTTTTGCACGTCGACTTATGCCCTTATTGCACACCAGACTTGCACTAGTGCACTAGGTGTATGCCATCGACTAGTGGTTTTATTATGCACAATCAGCTGGTGCACTATTTGCACGTTAAGTGGTGTACTCATTGCACACTATCATCTAGTGCCCTTACTGCATGTCATCCAGGGATGCACTTTTTACACGTCGACTCATGCTCTTATTGTACACCAGACTTGCACTAGTGCACTTGGTGTATGCCATTGACTAGTGGTTTTATTATGCACAATCAGCTGGTGCACTATTTGCACATTAAGTGGTGTACTCATTGCACACTATCATCTAGTGCCCTTACTGCATGTCATCCAGGGATGCACTTTTTACACGTCGACTCATGCCCTTATTGTACACCAGACTTGCATTAGTGCACTTGGTGTATGCCATCGACTAGTGGTTTTATTATGCACAATCAGTTGGTGCACTATTTGCACGTTGAGTGGTGTACTCATTGCACTCCGTCATCTAGTGCCCTTACTGCATGTCATCCAGGGATGCACTTTTTGCACGTCGACTCATGCCCTTATTGCACCCCACTTTCCATCTCACTTCCATCCACATTGCTTGCACACTACACTTGCATGTTTTGCACACTACCAGTCAGGTCACTCTCCCAATCCTTCAGACTCTTGAGTTTTTAGCTCAGTGTGAAGACGTTTGCGCTGTTTGGCACTAATATTCTTGAACCAGTTTATTTATTTATTTATTTGGGGTTCTTTTACCCCGCCCTTCTCACCCCGAAGGGGACTCAGGGCGGCTTACAGAAGCAAAGGCACAATTCGATGCCTGCAGCACAGAACAATCAAGACACAAAATTACATCAATTCACAATTCACACTAGTTCATGCATTATATCAATAAAATCAATAAAATCAATAAAACCAATACAAACCCAATTCCTCCTCTTACATGGTCAGCGATCGCTAACTCATAGTTCTAGTTTTCCGTTCCACTTCATCAATCCTGTTGGTCTTACTCGCCTGATTGTCTTATTTAATTGCCAGATTGCCCAAAGGCCTGGTCCCATAACCACGTCTTCACCCTCCTCCTGAAGGAGAGGAGGGATGATGATGCCCTGATTTCCCCCGGGAGTGAGTTCCACAGGTGAGGGGCCACCACTGAGAAAGCCCTGCTCCTCGTCCCCACCAGCCTCACTTGTGAGAGTGGTGGGGTCGAGAGCAGGGCCTCCCCAGATGATCTCAGACTCCGGGGTGGGACGTAGAGGGAGATACGTTCGGACAGATACACTGGACCGGAACCGTACAGGGTTTTGTAGGTCAAAACCAGCACCTTGAATTGTGCTCGGAACTGAATCGGTCCTCTAGAGGAGCAGGAACCGAACCAAATCACTTTGGCTCCGATGGCCTTAAATGAGGAGAAGGCGACGGCGACGAAGAAGCAGCAGCAGACGGCGGGCTCCCCTCCTCTGTTTTATTTTATTTTTCCCGATTCTCGCAACCCCATCACATTCTCCCCTCTGGGATTTCGTCGCTCCCTCTCATGCTGTAAAAGAAGGCCAGGTTCCCCCCCTCCTCTTCTCTCTCTCTCTCTCTTTTTTGAAAAAAGAAGAAGAAGAAATGTAATTAATTCTCTCCGTTTCTGAGCCTGCCCTCGGGGCCGATGTCCGTGGAAGCTCAAGCCGGGAAATGTGCGCCCTTTACGATAAACGGAGGCGGCTTCGGAACGCCGCGCCCAATTAGGAGAACCAATCTCGGCCATCGATAGCTTTATTTTTAGGTCTGGAGGTTGGGGCCGGCGGGGGGCAGGTGGGTCTCGGGGAAACGGGCAGGCAGCAAGACGGGCCTCCTGGGTCCTACATGCGAATCACTAGGCTTTAGGATCCTATCCGTGAATCACCAGGCTTTAGAGATGGAGGACAACCCAAAGGCCACCTAGTCCAGCCTCATTCGGCACTCCGAAACCACCCCTGAGCTCTGGCCAAAGCAGAATACACCGTGACTGTGACTCTCCTCCATCTAACACTGGACT